TATATGAGGTTGGAGGCCATCGCATCTTGAGGTTGGAGGCCATCGCATCTTGAGGTTGGAGGCCATCGCTATATGAGGCTCTTGAGGTTGGAGGCCATCGCTATATGAGGTTGGAGGCCATCGCTATATGAGGTTGGAGGCCATCGTTATATGAGGTTGGAGGCCATCGCTATATGAGGTTGGAGGCCATCGCTATATGAGGTTGGAGGCCATCGCTATATGAGGTTGAAGGCCATCGCTATATGAGGTTGGAGGCCATCGCTATATGAGGTTGAAGGCCATCGCCTCTTGCTCCCAGGCATTGGCCAAGCGCTTGATGAGTGCGGCCCGCTCGGTGGACCAGCGCTCGTTCAAGACGTCGCCGAAGAGCCACTGCGCGTAGCCTCGCACGGTAGCCAAGCGGAGGCGACGCCAGGCGGTTCGTCGTTGAAGAACATGGTCAAACGGCGGTTTTTCAGGCTAGTAGTAACAGGTGCCACGCTAGTAGTAACAAGTGCATCGCTTCTAGTAACAAGTGCCTTACTAGTAGTTTCTTGCTTTCATGGGTGTGTCTGCTTGTGTGGCCGTGGCGCGATAAGAACTTGGCTGAAGGCGGCGCAAGACTTGCATCCCAGAGATACCTTGGGAGAGACAGAGAAGAAATTGCTTTTCTCAAACGCCCTTCTAGAGGTCCAAAGCTCTCTGGGACCGACTACCGCAGTACTGCGGACACAGCGTGCACAAGCGCTAAGATAGGACGCCAGGGATCCTTTGCAACTTCGAAAGCAACTGCTTTTTAAAAGGAGTTTCTCACAGTCCAAGAGACGCATCCGCACACCGCGCCAGGTTTCTCGCAGGAGCTTTGCAAAGCTTACACCCCGTGCACCGGCAGCTTTTACTCTCCTAGTATCAAGAGAAACATCCAGTCAAAAAATGTGAAAAGCAAAATTGAGTTGGTACTTGACCTGTCAGCTTTGATGGCAAAATCCTGTCTTTTCCCAATTTTTCTTGAGTCATCCTGAACCTGCCCTTGACACCAAACACGCGAAGTCGCGCAGCATCGCGCAGCATCGGGCGTTGTTGCGCGAAGCCTCAACTTCCGGCGCAAGGCTTCCCCGTGTCGCGACTCGGCCCAGCCCCTGAAGGAGCAAACGAGAGCTAAATGTCAGAGCAGAATCCAGAAAACCACAGCGAAATAGCAACCAGAACCAAAGCCCCCACCTAGCTGCTGGAAGCACTGTTCTCCAAGCCTGCAGAATGAATAAGCACACGTTCCGTTTTGAGAGGCGCACACCCGTTCCGTTTCGTGGCCTTAACAGAAAGGCGCGACACTCCACGCAGCAACGACTGCAGCAGACTGCCGACTCCTTCAATCTTAACGAAACGAAAAGAGGAAGTGACAAAACATTGAAATGAGAAAGCGAGGAGAGGGCTTGCTTTCAACTGTGTTTCATTAAACTCACATCACGTGCAGCGATGCTGGCGAGCGGCTCAACAGCCATTGGGACTGGAGGCACTCCAGTTTCTGCATCAAGAGCCTCAGCTTGACACAGAAACATCGAAAAGCCAGATAACCTAGTAGCGATGGCCTCTAAAGGGCCGAATAACCCTACGAAGCTGTATTTGAAACAGGTGCAAGCAGTGGTCGAAGAGGTGTCATTCCACCGGATGAGAGTTTGAAGGCGGGGGAGTGGAGGAGTGGGCGACGGGACGCGGATAAAAGAAAGAACCCCACAAAAAGAGTTGGGAAAAAGGAAAATTTTACACGTTTCACGTTGGCCATTGCTAGGAGGTTGGAGGCCATCGCTCTTATTAGGTCACGCTTCTCACATGTGGTTTTTCGCCGGCTTCGGAGATGTCGCGATGGCCTCCAACCTAATAGCTTCTAGCTACTAGTAGCGTTTCTTGGGAGTCCAGGCCGGCCGCTGTGGCGCTCTACTGCTAAGCCCCGCTTCAGTGCCAAGACGTAGCCGCCAAAGTCGCTCAGGGCCTTCAATTCGGTTCTCACGCAGACAGCGTGGGTGTGACTTCCAGCCCAGTGTCCAAGTGAAAGTTCTAACCGTGGAAGTACAAAGGTTGAAACGACATTGCACAAGTTGAATTATGAAATCTTCGAAAGGGTTAAAAGGTGTTGATTTGAACTGCGACAAAGCTGGCGAACATGTGTGCCTCAGGTACTGCTTCTGCTCCCTCTTCGCCAGCTCCCTTCAGCAATGTTTCAATCCACCGACTATCCAGCCGGTCCCAGTTGATGGTCACTGGCAATGACCTCGGATATTCGAAAGTTCCTTTCTCGAGCCGGTCTGCAGTTCCTTCACGTGGCTCCATCCTTTACGTTCGTAGAACGGTCATGTTGTTGCGCGGTCTCTCCAAGAATCTCACAAGAGATCTGCTTTCAACTCTCTCGTCTTCTCCTGAAGTCGATAACTGATCAAGCATCACAGTGCGTGCCATATGGCACCCCCACAACCAGCAAAAAAGTTACTAGCTTCTTGTTACTACTAGTAAGGCACCTGTTACTACTAGCGTGGCACTTGTTACTACTAGCTTCTTGTTACTACTAGTCTGGGTTGCACGAGTCTGTCGAAAGTGCCATCTGTCCAGGTCGAAGCGGGAGAGCGGTGTGAAACCCGCCAAGGAGGCAGCGCGGAGGAACTGCCGTGCGAAACGTTCCTCCTCGTCAGGTCCGAGAAGAAACGAACGAAGCAACGCAGTCCAACTAAAGATAACTACATAAAGTCACTGAATGAATGTCCATTGAGTCCCCACCCAGTTCCATCAAACTGCAAGGCACAGCCTTATGAGGTTGTATAACTGTCACTGCTGTTTGATCCCCAATGATCTACAATGTGGATCAATGTGGTTTGGAAGCAACATGAAGCAAATATCAGTTGATTGCTGTTGGGGAGGCCAATCAACTGAGCAGCAAAACACCTGGCAGACTCAGCTTTCTGATCTTTCTGCCGCAAAACACCGGTTCTGCGGGGCCTTGTCCGGCAAAGGCCAGGACCCCACCCAACGTCTTCGGGCAGGGTCAAAGGGCTGATAGGAATCCTCAGTGGAGGCCTCCAACCTTACTAGCGACAGGATCCTTTTTCCAGCTTAGACAGGTCGTATCGCAAAACTCGATCCGATGGTTTCGCTATGAATTGGGAAGAACAACAATGAGGCCAAGAGGCACAAAGACTGCAGCGCAGCTCTTGTAGCTCCTCCCATCTTCGAGTTCCCAGCTTCTAACCCACAAGCCTACGGCTAACACAAAGGCACCCGAAGGCAGACTCAACTGCCCATTCCAACCACGTTTTCGTTGCGCGTCCAACGACGCGTCCTCATGGACCAAGTCCTGGAGAGCTGAACCTGGAGAAAGGCTTCGTTCGAGCACGGCTATCCCTCCTTTCACCTAGAAGCAATGGCCTCCCTACCTACTAGCCATGGCCTCCACCCTAGTAGCGATGGCCTATGACGGCAAACACTGGCAAATTATGCAGTCTCTGTCCGCATCCTGCTTCACCATGCTTCACCTGTCTACTCTGTGGGTTGATTGCTCCACCAAGCTGCATGTTGCTTGCCACTCCTTCTGAGCCTCAGAAACATCCCAACAGCCTGTGAGCTAAATATATTAGTAGAAACAAGAAGCTACTAGTAACACGTGCATCGCTTCTAGTAACAAGTGCCTTACTAGTAGTAACAAGAAGCTACTAGGTTATGTTTAAAATATTTTAAAATGGTCAGCCCAAAGAGAATGGAGCACTCCAGCCTCAGCTTCGAGGCGCTGTCCCAGTTTTTGTCGCAACACCTGGCTCTTGCAGTTCAACAACTCCGCATCGCAACGTTGTTTTTGCAGCGCAACAAACGCACGTTTCAAGCCTCTGGTGGCACCGGGATGTAAGAATGCCTGAAAAGAATATTCGGAAAACACCAAAGACGGAACGAAGCAAAATAACGCCGCGATGGTCCAAGGAACCGCACTGTTCGATAGGAACCTGAGCACTCGTTAAAACAGGACAATCATCCAACGAGCGGCGTATTAGTAACAAGTGCATCGCTACTAGTAACAAGTGCCTTACTAGTAGTAACAAGAAGCTATTAGTAACAAGTGCATCGCTTCTTATTGCATTGACACGGAGTCCAAGGTGCACGCCTCGTGGCCTCAGAACACTTGCTCACCCCATACCCGTTTGGTTCACCAGGTGCATTCAACCGTTTTCTTTCAGTTGGAGGCCATGGCCATTGGGTTGGAGGCCATCGCTAGTAGGTTGGAGGCCATTGTTATCAGTTTGGAGCCGGCTACGGCTGTAGGTGGTGAGGTCTGGTCCTTAGGTTTTCCCATTGTTCCCACCACGCCTCGTCGTGCCAGTTTTCGGCGGGGACCTTGGCCAACGTCCCTGATGGATTTGTCCAAGGGACTCGTTACTTAGATCCCAACTGAAGAAAAGAAACGCCTCCAGGCATGTGACTGGTGCAATGTGACTGTGCTATCACCTACGCATCGTTCTTCGTTCGTCCAACAACGAACTCGCTTCGTTCGCAGACTCCAAAAGGCGAACGACATGCGCACCAGCACCGCAGGAGCTTTGCTGCGACCTTCAAAAGAGAATGTCAAGTGCACAAAATCTCTTTCAAATCAGAGATCGCAGGCTGATCGCAGGGTCACTTCGTGCAGAATAAACATCTTTGCGATTAGGATGCCTTGGTGAAGTGGAATGAAAAATGAGGGTGGCGTTTAATTATAACGAAAACAAATGAAGTCTTAGTTGCGAAACTCTGGCCCTTAATTGCGAAAATTTGGGTTCCCAACTGCGAAACTTTAGCTCCTGGTTGCGAAAGTGGCTCTTATAGACTGAACTTGTGGAGTCTTCATATGTTGACCGTCCCAAAAAATAACATTTGCCATTTTACCTGTAATTGCTGGTTGTTCTTGGTGGCTTTGCCACTTAAGTCAGGGCTTCTCGGTTTTCCAGGCGACCCTGCAAGTCTCCAACAGGCTACACCATGCTGCCGAACGAAACAAGACGAAATGAGCGGCAAAGACTACTCAAAGCGGCAAAGACTACTCAAAACAGGCTGCTGCGCTGGGGTGTTCCTTTTTTCGCCTGCGCGTTGGGTTTCGTTAGTTCAACGAAATGAGGCCAGGCGATTGTTTCCGTTCGGGTATCTTTCGCACCAGGACGGTGGAGCCGTGTCAAGTAGCAAACACCTCAAAGACATCCACCGTTGTGCTTTTGGTGCTTTTGGCTGTTCAACAAACACAGCCGTGTTAATTGAGGACGATTTGGCAGAGTGCAGGCACTTGTACGGGGCATACTGTCCGCACCTTTGATCCAAACGACTTCTTACCCTAAAACGAGGAGGAATTTGAGGTCTCAAAGACACTCACGCTGCTTTTGGTCCACCAAATAGATGGGCGGCATTCGAGGTCTCCGCTGCCTGTGGGTCTTCTTCCACTTCCAGACGTCCCCATGCATATCTACGCTGAGCGTAGATCCATTTGTTTCGCTCTTAGAACCTATGTTTTGCCATTAGAGAGTACCCTGAATGAAAATCGGTTCGGTTCTTTGTCCATTTTCTCTCTCGCCTGCGATGTTCTGCACCAGGACGGCATCACTGCAGTGGACACCACGCGGGGCACAGACACCGCGCTCTGGGCCGTGCCGGACGACGACGTGGGGCGCCCATCCTGTGCGGTGTGTGCACGGTGCGTCGGGGTAGACATAATGTGCTCACAGTGCCTCCAACCTCAATAGCGATGGTCTCCAACCTACTGGCGATGGCCTCCAACCTCAATAGCGATGGTCTCCAACCTACTGGCGATGGTCTCCAACCTACTAGCGATGGTCTCCAACCTAACCTCAATAGCGATGGTCTCCAACCTACTGGCGATGGCCTCCAACCTACTAGCGATGGTCTCCAACCTACTGGCGATGGCCTCCAACCTACTAGCGATGGTCTCCAACCTACTGGCGATGGCCTCCAACCTCAATAGCGATGGTCTCCAACCTACTGGCGATGGCCTCCAACCTACTAGCGATGGTCTGCAACCTACTGGCGATGGCCTCCAACCTCAATAGCGATGGTCTCCAACCTACTGGCGATGGTCTCCAACCTAATAGCGATGGCCTCCAACCTCATAGCGTTGGCCTCCAACCTACTGGCGATGGCCTCCAACCTAATAGCTACTGGCGATGGCCTCAAACCTACTAGCGATGGCCTCCAACCTAATAGCGATGAGACCGGAGACATCAGGTGACACCAGTAGACATCAGTCGACTGTACTGTTCGTTTTTT